TATCAACACGTCGCGACGCGCGTTGCTCCCCGGAGAACGCCAATGACACGAAACGCCTTCTGCTCGGAAAGACTTCGACTGAAAAAACTTAAAATGTTTCGTAAGAAATATATATATATATATATATATATTAGGTTTTTTATTTGTGTCATGCTTGTGAAGACGTCATTAAGTAGCCCGAACAGCATTGGTACAGAAGGAATTAGGTAAAGTGAATTTTCACAGCAGTCCATTTAAGCTTGAATTAAGGCACAATCACACATCCCGCTGTCTATAAGCACCCATGCAACAAAGCCGACTTTGGTTTCTTTTAGTAGAACGACACCCATTGATATTCTAAAGTAACTGTAAAAAAGTTTACTTGCAGATGCAGAGCACTTGGGGAGCCAAGCACAACTATCTACCAAGATGGCTTGCCAAATTATGAAGCCAGAGGACCGTTTGTATCGAAAATGTAAAGACTGCGATGTGGCAGTGAGCATGACGTTTAGCACGATCGCGCTCATTGTCATCACTCAATGTTACACTGCAGACTTAATTTTAGGTCGGTCTTTTTCCGTCCATCGCAATCATCGGTTTTCCAGGTTCCCCGAGTAAAGGCAGAAGCTCAACAATTCTTAGAGTTATTGTCGTTTCTCTCTCTCCCCCCCCCCCCCCCCCCCCCCCTTTTTTTTTTTTCGCTGTTAGAGTAACCTGTTGGATCGACCGTAGCCTGTATCAACGCAAGGTATGCAGTCTGAAGATCCCCCTTCAGCTCGTGATTTTACCTGCAATGACACTTCGGCGAGCACGCGTATAGGCGAAGATGACGGAAAGCAGGGAGCGCGTGCTGGAGTCTGAGCTACTCAAACAGATCTTATGTTACAAGAAACAAACTACGCGGAGAGAAACTGAAAGACAGGAGGAGGCGGGAGCGTGTGGGGACGTCAGAGCGCAGAGTTCTGATTGGAGGGAGATAGTGGGTAGAGACGAGGGCAGCTAGCCTTTGCGTCTACCCCCTAATCCTTCCAATCAGAGGTCGGAGCTCTGACAAAACACTCTCGTCTCCTCGTGTATTTCAGTTTTTCTCCGCATGGACATTTTCTGAAGGTTTGAATTCATGTCGAACTGCTACGGAATGTGACGCAAGCTTTATGTAGGATTTTGTGTTTTTGGAGTTTATTTATTGTGAAATTTGGAGGGTGTTTTTCGGAGTGTATTTTTCGCTGAAAAGGCGTAATTTAGTGGAGCTTTTTTTTTAGATTCTTGATTTGTTTACACTTCGAAGTTCCTTTTACGGCGTAACCAATTTTTAACATTAAAAAAAAAAAAATGCGGGTACCATGACCCGTTGTCCTGAAGGAACCTTGACCAGCTAAAAGGCAAATAATTTTATTTTGTCAGTCGTTCGAGATTTCAAAGGAGTCTAAAGTGACGTTTCCTCAAGACCGTAAACCCCATGCTCTAATAAACTATATTTGTAAAACGAAAACAATTTTTTTGTCGTGATTGAAATTTGGAATTATCCGGATAAATCTGAATTGATAAAATATATACCGGCGAGTATTTTTCGAATTTTTTTCTCGAATTTATTCGAAAACACGGAACCCTAGCTATTGCGGCTCTGTTAATTACTTAATTATTTTCATTCCCCAACTCCGTTTTAATGGTGCTACATACTGTTGTTGTCGTTTGAGCCAACCCGCCACACGATACTGACCAGCGCAGAAATGTCTGGTCCGGTTTATACGAGAATCGCCCTCATCTCCGAAACGTATCGTGGTGTTTCGCAGCAGCATCTGGAAGACCACTTCCTTCTTGGAGGCGCCGTTGAAACAACAAGTACCCCGCCCTCTTACGTCTGTTCATCGCCCGCTTTGTTTCTTGTTATGACGGCAGCCATCTTGAATCGCTCAGGGTTGCGCGACGACGTGCTCGTTCGCGTGGGAAAGAGCCGACCCATTTGGAAGAGTTGGAGAGTGACAGCAGTTTTGGCCCGCTCGGCAGATAGTACTAATGAATGGGGACACGACGTCTGCTGTGCTCCATCAAGACAGGACTGGAAAAAGAGAGCGGTTAGTTTCGCAGTTGGGTGCTCGTAATTGGCTTGACGACGCTGTCGCAGTCAGAGCCTCCTTTTTGGCAAGGTCAGGTCGGACAGTCACTCGAGTGAAACTCCGTCTGCTAATTCGCGCTAATTGCAAAACTTTCGGACGAGAATGAGCTTCCGGATGGAGTTTCAAATGAGAAGCACGATGAACAGTTATGACAGAAACTAACACGCTGCAGTCATGTTGGGTTCCCACTGAAACTTAAGCTCTTTCACAAGGTGAAAAGTTATTGGGCAAGATTAGTAGGAAAAAAAAATAAAGCGTTCTTAATCATGTCGTTAACTACGATTGCCCTTGGAGACAATAGTACATGTACTACTCTAAAAAGTAATTGGGTGGTTTCATTTCATATCGGGCAGGCTAAAAGGGTCTAACTCTTAATTATGACGGGAAAAAAAAAGGTTTTGGGGGCGTTTCTCAAATGAAGGAGGGCGCAAACCGCATGTTTCCCAGGTTTTTTGTTCTCGAGTTACGAAGCCTAGAAGCCGCAGTGCCAGAAACTAGAGTTTTTGCATGCCGTCGCAGGTCGCATGCTTGACACCTTCTGCTGACGCTAGTGTTTTTTCTACACCCTTTTAACTTTTCCCCCTCATTTAATAGGTTTGCGCACTCCTTCATTTGAGAAATGCCCCCAAAAGAGATATTTTTTTCGTGAAAATTAAAAATTGGACCCTTTCAGCCTGCCCGATAAGGGGGGTTTCAACTCAAATAGGGCAAACTAAAAGGGTCTACTTTTTAATTTTTACGAAACAAATATGTGTTTTGGGGGCATTTCTCAAATGAAGGAAAGCGCGAACCGCATGTTCCCCAGACTGCTTGTTCTTCAGTCCGGGACAAGCATCGAACTTTCGGTGCCTCCAGTTGCGCCAGGCTCGTAGAGGAGATCAGTGCTATAAACACTGATCTCAATGACAATTGCCGCATCGCGCTTCCCCGCTTGTTCACTGCAGCGCGAGTGAAGCCACCGAACGGCCATCTTGCTCGGGCAGGATTTGCGGTTTTGCTAGCCTTTCGCTGCGGTTTTCCAACGTGTTGTAGACACGTTTTCTACTCGTTCGTCGTCATCCGCCGAGGAAGTATTTTTTAATACTCAGTGCACCGTTGAGACTCGCCGTTGTGAACACGTAAAAGATTTTACGAAAGCGCAGTACCGCAGAAAAAAGGCACAACTCGTCGAAAGCAAGCTTCGCCGGTCTGGCGGCGTGTTCAAAGCTTCCTTGACACGCCGAAGTACCGTGTCTCTGTGCCTTCGCACGCTTGGATACCGACCAAGAATCGACACTGTGTGAATGTGTTTTCCGTGTTCAATGTGCGTGAAGCCGTATGTGCCTCCGGGTCAGCGTCTTACTTTGCTCTGACGTCTGTATACTTGCGGCACTTGCGGTCCAGAAACGAGCTTATTCCGGCGTCCAGTAGCGACGGAAGAGGGGGGGGGGGGGGGGGGGGGGGGGGAGCTAGGTACGTCTTTTTTTCGTCCTCAGACAATTTACAAAATACTGCGCAAAACAGCTCCCCATCACTGATCAGTGCTGGCTCATTATCAAACTACTTAATTGCACTTGACGTTTGAGCGCGGCTCGCCTAATTGTGATTGGTCAACAGATTGCACACGACCATGTGGGCCGCGCTTCAAAGATTTTCATTCTCGCCGTCTTGTAATTTTGCTTTCGAAAACCCTTCTTGCTCCACAGCTTTGCTCCATTTGTGCTCCCACGTGATCGATTAGAGTAGATTTGGAACGGTTAATGCATAAGAACACGGACAGATATCCCCCCCCCCCCTTTATTGATAGCAACTCACCGGAACAGCTGGACGATCCAGAACTCCGTGGCCGATATAAACAGGGTGTCACCAAAAAAACAAAAAAAATTACACGGTCTTCTTTACCACAAAAATAAACTACGCGTCGCCGAACGCTCATTCTCCGCCCAAAAGTAGCGCTAGAGGCCACAACCAGATGCTAAAGTTTCAGCCCGATCCCATAACTTAATCAAAAGTTATGTGATTTTCTGAAAAGTTCAATGGGGCAATGGAGCCCATTGATGCCTGTGTTCGGTTTCTGGTGCCCACAGAGCCCCATGTATTCGAAAACTCCACCGGCCGCCATTTTCCCAATGAAATTTTCAGAAAATCACTTATAACTTTTGATTAAGTATTCGGATCGGGCTGAAACTCTGGCATCTGGTTGTGACCTCTAGCACTGACTTTGGGCGGAGGTGAAAGGTAGTGCTCGTTCGGCGATGCCTAGTTTATTTTTGCTGTAAAAAAGACCGTGTAAATTTGTTTTTGTGACACCCCTTATTTATAAATTATATACTACGCGCGACACGCGTTCAGAACTTTGGTGCGGCGCCGATTCTTGATCGGTATCCAAGCATGCGAAGGCACAGAGACACGGCACTTCGGCGTGCCAAAGAAGCTTTGAACACGCCGCCACACCAGCGAAACTTGCTTTCGACGAGTTGTGCCTTTTTCCCGCGACACTGCACTTTCGTGAAATGTTCCACGTGTTCGCAACGGCAAGTCTCAACGGTACACAGCCTTAAAAAACTTCGGCGAATGACGACGAACGAGTAGAAAACGTGTTTAAGCACGCTGGAAAACCGCAGCAAAACGCTGGCAAAACCGCAAATCGTATTTTAGCAAGGTTGCGTCCGGTGGCTTCACTTGCGGGAGCGGGTAGCACGATCCAGCAATTGTCATTGAGATCAGTGGCTATAAACATGGCTTGCACGTGATGTCGTCGTACCACGCTGGTTACTTGCCCATGGGCCATGTCGACAGAAACATATTCGGTGTTGCGAAATGTATGCTGCAGAAATAAGCGCTCAGCAGCAAGGCCGCCCCAATGACTGCTTATCTGACGTGAGCGCAAGTAATCTATACCCTCAATCACTCGACAACATGAAATGAACAGATACTCTTTATTTGAGATTACCGCAAGCAGAATAGGAACACGTTGTGGAACACTTTGGTCGAAAGTACGCCTGCTAGTCAGACAGCAAAACAGTAGCTTGGAAGAAAATCACACACAAAAGGTGGATATTAAAACGAGGCAGAAAAGATTACAATAACGAAAGGACAAAGAAGACGATGCAGACGGTCCAGCCTATGTCGTCTATATTGTCTTCCATGTCCCTCTTTCGTTATAGTAGTTTAGACACCAACATGCTCAACCATCCACATGCAAACTAAGCACGTACAATACGTTTTCAGTCCCATAAGTTGTACAAAAAGAGGCCGAAACGGAGTTATCAGACGCAAAGCATTTTCCGCGACCGTACGCGTTTACACACGTTTGCATTTCCAGGTGTGGGCAATGCGCGTGTGCAGAACCCAGATCAGCATTAAAAAAAAGCGTTCGCAGATGCTCCGACAGCAGCGCTACAGCAGTGGTGTGTTCGCGTTGGTGTATACAAAGTGTATAATTAACGAGAGGGAAAGGAAACACGGAAAGAGGAAGAGGCTAGCCCGGATAGATTGATATAGGAGACAACTACGGTCGAATACTTCACAAATTACGACCGAACACATTTATTACTATAGTTCCATATACAAGTATAGTCTCGCGTTCACACCGGCTTCAGGACACGGCAGCTCGGATCCGCGAAAATCGCTGGGGCGTCTTATCATCCCCACTATAGTTGTTAGTCGCATTTCATGGAGTTTTGACCACGTGAAATCATTTTCTGAAGACAAGCATTGTTAACAATCTTTGGGACGCAGCCATCCATAAATAGTTTTTGGCTGACACCAATTAAAAGTACACTTCACCGGACCCCCTTGTATGAAGGGACGGTTCCTCTTCGAGAGACTGCATGCACTGTAGAGAAAGGGCGAAACGGTAACATCGGCCACGAACGGATGCGTGTGATGGCTAGAGGCGCAACTATTACATAAAAGCGGCCGTCACACGTCTCTGTACCATGTGGGATGTATGCATGTGCCTTGGCGCCACCTCGACAAACAAAGTCGGGCTGCCAGCTACAAGTGAATTAAACAAGCAATAAGCATAGTAAGAGAAGAGACTGCAGCAAATCAAGGTTGAAAGCCACGAGCTCGCAACCAACGTTCACCGGCAGTGCTGGCAAACTCTTCAAATACATAAATTAATCAGGAGACAAAGCACGAGACGCCACCGCGGGTGAGCATCAAGGGACCATAACGTTCCCTGTCACGAGCAGACCGTTTCAGTCGCTGGTTACAGATCCCGGTGAGTATAGATCCTCATCGATGTCAACAATGTCCGGTGCCTCTTCTTCCTCATGTTCTTCTGTCCAATCGTAGGTATTTTCGTCATAAGAGTCATTGTCGGAGGAACCGTCTCTCTCCGCCGCTACGACAGGCGTGATCTTAGCGACTCTACTTGTCTCCACGACAGCTTCAAGCCTGGGCTTCTTCGGAGCCGGCTCTTGGTCTTCGATGGATTGGGACAGCCGTTTCTGATTGTGCGCGTCTGTCTCCAAGTGCTCTAGCTTGTACTCGATGTTCTTGAAGAGCACTATCCCGCAGCAATCGCACGACAGGTCCACGCCCCGAGTTGAAGACTGTTCTTTCTCTGGCTGGCCAGTAGACAGTTCTTTCCCTGGCTGGCCAGTAGACTGTTCTCTCTCTGGCTGGCCAGTGGCTAGGGGGGATGCCTCTTGTGGAGTTTCTGTCTGCAGCGCGGTAGCCGATGCGCTCGGAGCCACCTTTCTTTGCTGGGGGCTCGGAACCGAAGAGGTGGCGTGCTCCTGTGGCACGACAGGTGCACCTCGTAAGATAGTGGCGTTCAACTTTTGAAGATCTTCTTGGACTTTTAGTGCCTTCAGGTGTTTCTTTCCCTGAAACGATGCAAATAGCTCATGTGACTGATAATCGTGGTAATGACACACATTTGGGTAATTTTGTTTGGGGAGTCCCAAACTCTGGTATTTTGTACGGTTCCACGGTCACAAGAGGAGGATGCACACTGCAGTATAAGCTCCACTGTTCTTGCTGTTACATGGAAGCCACCTATTACTGCCAACGGCCAAATGATGACACAGCGACTATGCACGATAGCGTCGAGCAAGGTCGTTCACAGAGAACAATGTATAATATCCACTCTCGAGTTCCACTGCATTCTGATCAGTACATGCTGGTTTACACAGCAATGAAGAGGTTTGATTTGTGTGAATTGTCGATAAACAACTTTATTTCATGCGCTACTGTTACGTTAAATTGATGCCAACTGCTAAGATTTCTAGAATTGCACACACTAATTGTTTCAAGCTTGCATTCTTTCCCCACGCCATCTCGGAATCAGGGTGTCTACCAAATTGTTTTTTTCTTTTTTAATTCCCTGACTTTTCCATGTTTGCACTCACTATTTTAATTGAATTCCCTGACCTACAACTACCGACACCAAAATAACATAAAATATTTTATTTAAGTTAGATAAAGTAAACTTTGGAAGATGTTTGGAATACAGCATTGACCCGGGCTTACTGTTTCAGGGAGTTTGGTCCCCGTACCTGATCGGTACATCAATTTGTTCTCTTTGAGTTACTTTGTTCAGTGACTCATCAAAAGCAACCACCAGATATGGCACGCTAGAGAGGCTTGCTAGCAACTTCCCACTTTGTCTTTTCCAAGCTGCATTTTTCTGGCGGTCTCACACATGGGGAACATCAACGGAAACAGCGAGGCAGACGCTGCCACTGAACGGAAAGACCCATGAGTAGTTATAGTGTTTAAGCACCACATGATCCCCGGCCTTTGTGACTTCCTTCTTCAATAGAAAGCCACCACCCACGTCTTCACAGAGGGACTAAGAGCTTCCGTGGCGGTGTTTAGACGCATTGCCGGAGCCCTATAAGCACTATTGCTACCTCCGGACAAAAAACACCCGTTGCTGTCGCGGAAAGCAAGTCCGCATTTGTCGCAGTTTTGAAAAATGCGATTGGGCTCTGGGAAACGCTTTGCAGATACTTCATAGCAGCTTGATGTTTCTTACCCTCAACATGAGTAGTAATCGCCCTATTCCCCATGTTGCTCAGGGAGAACTTCTTGCAGCACATTGTGTAGTGAGCACTATTTGGATCACTTGGAATGGGCCGAACCCAACTTGCATTCGTGAATATGTCCGGGTTTGTCCAGTTGAGGTTGAAGGAGCACTTTCTCGACAGCGACATAGTCACTTTCACATATCTCCACTTCCGGAAAATAACACAATAGAAAGCCCAACTCAAAGCCACAAACGCACATGGCAGAGCTCGTAGAGTGCAGGCGTCCAGGTTGCGTTTACGGGGAAGCGCGAAAACACCATATCTGGCAAACGAATGGATCGCTAGGCGCGCGCCTTTCAGAGGGTAAATGAATGAACGACGGCTGTTCTCTCTCGAGTGAGTGGTGACTCGCGCCACCTAGTGTCGGCTAGAGTAACTGTTTCTCCTTGTACTAGAACAACACCACCTGACTAGAGTCACGAACTAAACAAAATGGCCGCTGCTACACTGCTTCACTAGTAACTGTGAGTAACTCTTCAGCCGCCATACTTTAGCGTTGCTAATTTAAGTGTAGCTTATTTAGTGGCTTTATAAAAGAACGACGAGCCGCCAGCTTCGCACACGCTCTCGTGTGAAGCGCAGCGCGTGGAAAATTGGGCGGGTCGCATCGCGCCTAGGCGGTCGCGACGCCGCACTTGACTGCGCTCGTGGCTATTAGCGGCGAGATGTTTTAGTGGCGCCCTCCTACGGTTCCCCCTTGTGACGTGATTACCTTGCAAACAACAAGTTCGATGGTGTTTGCAATGAGCATGGTGGAAGCGTGAAATCATTGCGCTCTCAAAGGAACACTGCCAAAACTGTCAAAATTAAACTTTTTCAATCCTCTTATTTCCGTCGATGATAAATCCTTTTCTGACGTCATAGTCAGCGTTCGGCCAACCGTGGAAGGCCGACCACAGCGACGCTTTCGGTCGCGCAAGTCGCCAATGCCTGCCAGTGCCTGCCGCTTCTAGCGCAAGCGGGCGAGCATGGGATAAATTCTCGGACTCTGCAATCCTTTTGGAAATTTCCCTTACAATTCTTTGACTTTTCCAGGTGTCTTAAAATTCCCTGACAATTCCCGGTTTTCCTGGTCGGTAGACACCCTAGAAATGGAACTTATTACCTTCTAGTATTTTTGAGGCTAACAATTTTTGTGACGCTATTGACAGTTACTTTTCTTAATATTTTTACATTATTGCACTGCATATTTCGGCTTTGTTAGGGACTTGTAAGTCAACCTCCAAGTCCAATCCTTGTTTTGAAGAAATTTAGGCGAGTTAAAAAATTTGTAGGTATGCCTGAATAATTGCTGGTGTTGCCTCATGATGAACAATTGCCTTTTATTGATTGCATTCTCCGGTTTCAACATCTGCTTTTTTTTTCAAATCGAGTATTATACCCAATTTAAACACTTGCTGTATGTTGGTGATTGTAGCATGAGGCAAGACATAAGGTGGCTGAATAAGGAATTTCAGATCTTTAACATATTTTTCCTCTACATCATGTATATGTACCCCTCCACATAAAAAGTTGATTCGTTGAAGACACAACCTTCCTTGTCTATGCCGGCTTCATCGCATTGATTGCACACATCTCCATCAAGGCCCGAACATGCAATATTTACCGTTTCACTTGCCGCACTTTACTTTTGCACCTACCTGCAGCACCTGGTGGAATATGATCTCAATCATTGAATCGTCATGAGACTTATCCTGAATGTTGTCATAAACTTCTCATTAACTACTTAACTATGACATAACGCGGAGTGCAAGTTCGTCAGCTTCTTTTGCAGGGGTTGTGGCGACATCAGAGCGCAGAGCTCTGATTGAAGGATAGTGGGTAAACCTCAATGCTAGCTGCCCTATAAGGTCTACCCACTATCCTTCAGATCAGAACCAACCAGAGGTCAGCGTTCTGACGTCACCACAACCCCTGCAAGAAATGAAGATGAACTTGCGCTCCGCGTAGGTTATTGTATAGCTTGTGTATTGCAGCGGAGTTTTCCTGTTGCTGCTTTCATTTCGTTTGTCTGTTACTCCCTACATATGTAATTTTCTTAAAGATACTTGTGATGAATTATGAATAAATAGCTATATACATAAAGAAGCAATCTAGTTCCCTTTAACCTTGACATCAAACAGGACATGGTGTTTGCTGCAGACATTGATGGCAGTTCTCTGCAAATGCACCTCAAGTACAGTAAAAGCACATTTGCTTCATACGTATGTATGCTTCGAGCTTTTCCACTGACGGTTTTTGTATGACCAACGTCACAGGAGAGTCATATAAAGAAGCAACATGTCTGAAGACAGTCTTTTGTATGATCTGCGAGCAGTGTGATCGCAGCTTCAAGTTACCACCAGTTTAGAAGCAAAACTCTCAAGGCCCGTTCAGACACTTGCGACTTCTTAAGACTGAGGGCCTTGGAACCTCTTAATATCTCTTACGACGAGAGGACACACTGGTGCCATCTATAGGGTAGCAGTGTAAACTTGGTGGTCCCGTGTACTTTCTATTTCTCTCGCGCATCATCCTTTCTTTCTTGGCTTGAAAAACTTCTGTCAACGTTATAAACAGGCCTTTCTCATAGGTGTTACACATATTTGACTTCGGAAATCCTACAAAACTTTTGCTCTTATGAAATGCAGTTCCAGGGTCACTGCATAGATGGCACCAGTGTATTTTCTCGTCCTAAGAAATTTTAAGAGGTTTCAACAGGTCTTGTCTCTCTCACTCATACTCGGTTGCAAGTGTGTGAACGGGCCCTCATACACAACTTCTTGTCCGTTTGCAAAGCTGTCACCGGGGGTGTTTCAAAGGTGGAACGGAGTAAAACTAACCCTGTTGTGAGCTTCCAACGAACCCAGGGAGTTTGTGGACACCCTGCAAACCTTGCATTCGAATGGATTGTTTTCGGGTACGGGCACACTGGTAGCAGCACCGGCCGGCTCTCCTTTATCGTCAAGGAAGGACTCCAGCTTCTCAAGGCTCGCCACTCTCTTTTGATGCTTTGCACTCTTGATGTGGTCCAAATAAGGCGCTGGCCCAGACAGCGTCTTGTTGCATGGTTTGCAGAACAGGCTCGTCATTGTCTGCATAGTGTCAGAGAAGGAAGGTCATGCAGGAGTATCAGTATCGCTGCTTGTGGCTGCACAAACCTGTGTCTGAACAGCCAAACTTGTTTATTTTGGCACAAATAGGTGTTAGTATGATACGGAGTATATTGAAGCGGGGGTCCCAAAGTGTCCAAAGAAAACTGCTTCAGGGATCTGGCTGTTATGCTAAAGGGAGTAAGCAATTCAATTCAAGAAGAAAAAGCTAAGAAAGGCGTACAAGAAAAAAACGCAAATTGATGACATTGACTGTTAAAACAGGTTAAAACTTGCGCTAGTTCCTATAATTTCTAATAACAAGCAATACTACATAAAAAAGTGCATGTGAGAAAGCGGGGAAAAAACACTTTTATCAAGATGAGTGCTCAAAACGGTGCTATAATGTCATGAAATTTACATAAAAGTTCTCAACAGCATACAAACAATCGCAGAAATGTTTCGGGGTTAGACACACTTTTAAAAATATGACTACACCACCAACATGTCACCTCCAGACAGCGCACAGATGCCTGAATAAAATGCTTAACTTTTTTCATGCAGGTCAGACAGAAGCCAAAAATGGAGATTGAGGAGCAGGCCACACCGAAAGCCAGCGAAAAGGTAATAATAATAATAATAATAATAATAATAATAATAATAATAATAATAATAATAATAATAATAATACATTTATTTTCAAGGACTATACTCATGAAGCTGTCAGGTTCGTCAAAGCCGACATGGGCTTGTGTGACTGAACCCTTTTAGGTAGAATTGGTAACATAATCAGTCAGAAAAAAAAAAAAAAAAAAAAAAAACGTTAAGACACTAGAAGACCACAGTAAATGTCCACTTCAGCGATACTAATCAATATAAATTATTTGAAGAAAATAGGAGAAAAAAGAGTTAAAATTGGTTTGTCCGTCTGGTCACAAGACATTAAAAGAAAATCGACACAAAACTTTTAGGCACAGAACTTCGAAATGAGGAGTCTAGCAGAATGAAAAAAAAAAAAAAGGGCGCACTCACACGGCACGTTTGTTCACAGCACATTCAAAGATCGACACAGATATGAGGGACAGAACTTCCAGGTGATGAGTCTCTCGGAGTCACAGAAACATACACCACAGAAATGTGAAAAAAAAAACAAAACAAAAAAAACACAGTTATCCTTTTTCTTTTAGTATATTCATATGACGGAGGCGCTTTTTTAGTTTTTTCTTTGACGTAAGGTTCCAGAGATCTGATGGTAATTGATTGAAAATGTCTGGAACGTAGAATGAACGCATAGTTTTGCCATACCGTGTGTAGCATTTCGGGACGAGATATTTGGAAACGTTCCGTAGTTGCCGTGAGATGAGACGAGGAGATTTAAAGTCGTCAGACCAGTAGTGATTGATCACAACTGTTTCTAAAAAAAGAGATCTAAAGTTCGGCATTGACAATGTCTCAAAAAGGTCTAAATGGGAATAATTGAGGTTATACCACACGTTTTTCAAAATCCCCTTTAAGATATTGTCGATTTTCGTTTGCCATAAATTCGAGCATGAACCGAAAACAGTTATACCATAGCGCAGGTGACTATAGGCTAACGAATAGGCAACGCGTTTGCGTAAACCGAGGGGCATGAAAGTTTTGATGTTATAAAGCAGACAAGAAACGCTTCTCAACTTCGAACATATTTTTGTTAGATGAGAATTCCACAAAAGGTCGGAGTCGAAGAGTATACCAAGGTATTTTACAGAGTCGGAATACGGCACTTCAGCACAGTGGCACGAGCTACAGTTTGATGTGTGTAGCAAAAAAGGAATATTCAAGGACACTACTTTCAAGGAATTGCGAAAGCAGACGAGTTTTGTTTTCGACACATTTATAGAAATCAAGTTCCGAGAAAACCAGTCCATGACTTTGTTGGAGGATTGCTGGAGCATCTGAAGCGCTTCTGGGTAGGAAGTATGACGTGTTAATAAAAGGGTGTCATCTGCATATTGGTAAATAATGCAGTTTGAAACCACGCTATATAACCATGATGGAACTTAACCCGAGACTGGGGTAGAAACAGAAACAAAAGTAGAAGGGACAGAGACAAGTGAAGAAGAGAACATCTCAAACGCAGCTAAAAGATTTATTTAGTCCCACATCCTTATATACTCACAACCACAAGGTCACCCAAACACTCAACACGCCCCTTTCAAAGGCACAACACACACACACAAAAAAAAAAAAAAAAAAAAAAAAGATCCAAAGACAACAATGCAAAGGGACGCCCTTTGCATTGTTGCCTTTGGATCTTTTTTTTTTTTTTTTTTTTTGTGTGTGTTGTGCCCTTGAAAGGGGCGTGTTGAGTGTTTGGGTGACCTTGTGGTTGTGAATATACAAGGATGTGGGACTAAATAAATCTTTTAGCTGCGTTTGAGACGTTCTCTCCTTCACTTGTCTCTGTCCCATCTACTTTTAAGTTTCTGTTTCTACCCCAGTCTCGGGTTAAGTTCCATCATGGTAAATATCCACCAGCTCGCCTGCACTTTAACCGTTTTTTCATTACGCTATATAAGTCATTGACATAGATGTTAAACAATAGTGGAGAAAGAACAGACCCTTGCGGAACGCCAGATTTTAAACTAACTGTGGAACTTTGCACAGTGTTATTAATATTAATAATAATGCAAATTATTATATTAATATTATTAATAATTATAATTATTAATATAATTTAATCTATAATTTAATAATAATATAATTATAATTATAAAAATAATAATATTAATAAATTAATATTATTAATATTAATAATAATGCAAATTAATTGCACATTAATAATAATAATAATAATATGCACAATGAATATGTGCATGTGGAGGTACGCTGCCTCAACGAAGGTATCAGGTTATTAAAGTACGTAAACAAAACAAACCGGCAGAGATTGTGGAAACCGGTTGAGTACCTTGTTTTGGCGGCTTCGGTAAGCAAATGTAACGAACACCGCACCACAGTCCACCAAAACAGTTCCACTCGCCGATCCATATTATCCTTAGCACTGTCTAAATCAGAGGTAAACGATCTCACCAAACTCATTGAATCCGCTACATACCAAGTGCGTTGAAGACCTGTTCGCTGACGATCGTGAGGCAGCTCCGAGCTCGATTACGTATTTGAGTTAATTAAACTTCTTCAGACGCTCACCAGCCAAGTTTTATGCAGTGACAAGTTATGACATGCCTTGGCGCACAGTGACAAGCGTTAACATGCTCAGACAAGGCAACGTTACGCAGACGTCGTGTCAAGAATGTTAACACACTGTGCCAGGCTGCCAGCGCTCGAAGGTAGCCGCGTAGCGTCAAGAACGCGAACCTGGAATCACGTTTCACATGGGGCCCACTAGATGGCGAGAGCAGTATTAGCCAAATGGTAAATCGCTCTTGCACCGCCTTGAGCCCTCCGAGTTTTATATCTATTTTGCTAGTTGGATTTGTGTTCCCCCCTGTTGCCCTCTTTCTAACCTTACCAACTCCATCCAACTAATTTGACAGGTTTATATAATTACCTTCAACGAGCTAACCTTCATCGTAGTGTTTCTTCTAAAAAAATCGTTTTTTTTTGTTTGTTTTTTTTTGTTTGTTTTTTTGTTTGCTGAATAGGTTGAACAGACGAGAAATAAATGGCAAAATATCGATATCGACAGGTGCCATATGCAGAGGAGCTGTTAGATAGTGCACTTGATGTGTGTAAATATCAAATCAAAAATTTGATTTAGTCTACAGATTGGCATGGACCAGCATGTAATATATCTTTTTTTTTTTTTTTTTTTTCATGTCAGTGCGAGGAAAATAATTACTATAAGAAAGGCATCCATCAGTGGATGCTCTTGGATAAAACGCATTCAATTAGATTTCTTGGTTATTTGAGAAGTAATTGACCGCTACTTTAAAAAAAAGAAAAAAGTAAGCGTCAGCTTTTCGGTTATTTCAGATTTTCAAAACGAGATTTTTCTGAAAGTTTGCAAACGGCGAGTCTTTCGTATGCTGTCCAATATTGGATCAGAACCGCCGAATTATAAAATAAACATCCTTTTAATCCACCAGTTTTGGTAAACCATCCTCCTCTAAGGGACTTGGTTATAATTTCCCTCGGTAAGAAAGATGTAAAAACAAAGGGAATCATTAGAAAGGGGAGGGGAAAATAGAAAGGGTTACAAGTAATTTTAGTTTACTTCCAACAGTGCAATCAGATTACTCTCCTAAATGCCCCCCTATAAAAGTACTTAAAAAATTACAAAATTACTCCAGAAAGTGATTGATTACGTGTAATTTGAGTACTTGAATGAGCATCGTACAAGCAAGTCTGGCTGCTATACATATGTATGATCTCGAGTCATGGTATTCACCGGGCAAATCTACTATTTGAATTGGTTTCCACGCTTCCAACGCAGCACGAACTGTTCGGTAACTCGGACCCGTAACTCGACCTAAATTCTCACAACGTAGCAAAACGCACATAGTGGATCATCGTGTCCACGCTTCGTACTTCGTGACACGTTTTAGGGCGTTCTGTTCGGCTAATGCCGTATTCTCATTGACTGCACAGTGATCATGAGATGCTCGGGAATATACTCCGTTTCATGTGAACTTGGCGAACTGTGGAGGCTGCGGCCCCCGCGACCCAATAAAGGCGCCGGAGCCAGGCACTTGATAGCACCAATAGCACTCCATGGCAGTGTTGCCGCACTGCCACTTCGGTTTTTCCCTCGCCGAGCGGCGAAAATTCCCATTTTTTCCCAGAACACAATTTCGGTGACAGAAGTCGGTTTTTTTTTTTCTTTTTTTTTCAGATACGCATGACACCAAGTATATTTAAACGCAGCAACACCTCGCTATGTTTTTGTTTTGTAGAATTTTTCATCGCATAAATTACGAAATGTAGAACTTACATTCGGCAAACTGGTCTCCCCTCCCCTTTTCCGCACAATACATTGGTTGAATAAACCAAGGGAACTAAATGAAGGCAAGAGGGCCATTAACCAACTGAAATCGCCTGCTCGTTTTCATGATGCGAAAGGGAGCACACCCACTGTGCAATCCACTGTGTATCGCACTGACAGAGGACGTGTGTGCGTAGCCAGCGGAGAGAAAAGCGCGCGAACCGGCAGTAGTGTATCGGCAGGCTTGCAGCAGGCACATGATCTAAGTCGTGATGATTTAGATTGGCTCTTCAAAACAGGAAACTGTCTGACTAGCTAGTGCCACTCCCTTCCTCTTGTTTAATGAAGATAAGAAAATTAATAAATTTCGGTTTAGTTTGTTTATTAAAAAATATTTCCCACGTTTTACATGTGTTTAAATACTGGTTTCCCTTTTTCCCTAGCTGTTATGCATTTTCCCACAATGTGGGAAATTTCCCACAATTCGGCAACACTGCTCCATGGTCGAGAACACAGGGGCCTCGCTACCGTCAGACAACAAAGCCCTCCGCGACAAAAAGTAGTTGTAGGCTTCTTTTTGTTTTAACGGCAATTGAACTCGCGCGAGTTCATCTATAATGAGAAGATATCAAGAATAAAGAATAAGTAATCACAAATTTATGAGTTTCAATTATATTTAAACCCAACTAGTGACGCCACATACGTATCCGCTCGAATTCCTGCGCCTTGTAGCGCCGTGGCCGTTGGCCATCGCCGGCGATCGCGGTCGTGTAATCGGCCGTTTCAGCTCAAAACGTCGCAGTATGGCATTCGCACCCATCACAGATTCGCGGCTAAATTGAGCTTATGGTTGTCTCATGAACTGTTTCTTCCTTGAAGTGCTCGCTCTTCTAGCGGACGGAAATGTTGCTGCGGTGGACGTTCATGCGAAGTTGGTTGGTTTCGGAGCAGACGACTCTTGGCTAGCAAACGACAGCCGGTTCCTCCGCGCCTTGCTCCTCGCATTTGGCGAGGTGACACAAATGCTCCCGTGACGTGAGGTCACGTGCCTTGCTCCGACGCTCTTATTGGGTCGCGGGGCCGTAGCCTCCACAGTTCGCCAAGCGAACGTGAAACGGAGAATAGAGACGCCCTGCGACTTTTAAGTTGTCGGCACCTGCCATTCAGAAGTAGTCCAGAAGAGAGCCCGCTAGCACCGCAGCCCTCGTCTTGCGTGGTCGGAGCTTTGCTTGTTGTGGGCGGAGCTTACCTTTTTGTAGGTGGAGCCTCCCTGCAAATCCTGTGTGGCAACAATCCCTATTAGCGACGTGCGCGAACAAAAGCTTCGCTCTGGTAGCAATTCGCGCTTGGCCGGCCACACGCTCACGATAACGTCTTTATTGGAATTATCGCTTTTCTGTCAGCGACGGAAATCAGCGCTACGTCAGAGTGTCAACTGTGACGACGTTGGTTTAAGAATGCGCAATGATTCCGTGCCCCTATCGTTATTTTTACACACACCATCGAACGTGTAGTTCGCAACTGATGATAAGTAGTCAAGATTACAGCTCATGACGTCATGGCAGGGCAAATTCTGCTCGTGACGTCACGAAGGGGGATCGCAAAAGGACGCACGGAAACATGTAGAGTACCTTTCTGCCTTTCTTTCTTCGCTCGTTGCTAGCTCGCAGTTTCCGCTCAGGTGCTGTCGTGGGTGAAGGCCCACCTCCAGCTGGGCCTGAGCGTCTTGGGCGTGCTTCTTGGCCTGATTCTGGGCTACTCCATCGCCGCGGTCGAACCGAGCGAAGATGCCACCACCATCGTGTCCGTGCCTGGAGAAATCCTGCTGCGGATGTACAAGATGCTCACGCTGCCCCTGGTCGTCTCTTCCGTCATCGCCTGTAAGGGCCTCGTTGTCCCACTGTACGGACAAACGACAAAACTCTGTTCGCAGACATGTCAAATATAGGGTGTAATCATTAGTACGGTGTTCTTGGTATATAGCAACTCGTCGGCTGCCATGAACAACAGTTTGTGGTGAAGGCTCGATGTCAGAGCGCGCTTATCCTCAAAGCCCACATATACAGTACATGACCGCCAGTGAATACTCCCTATAACGGGGTTCGCTCTAAAATTGGGCGGAATAATGGGCGCCTGCATGGGACGATCTAAACTTTTCATGAAAGGTGTGTACGAAAGCCTGGGATGCTTTTTTAAGGAACCACCTCAGAAATGTGTCCGTCCGTTCCCGCTAACCTTAGCGGGGACGTTGACAAAACGTGACGTTAAGGTGTCTCGCGACATCACGACTTGAAACCATGACGTCACGTCACGTATCCACCTTCGTTGATTTCAGGTGAAGCCGTTTAAGTTTTCGTCTAAATTTAGCTTTGGCGGAGTAATTGGCGTCAGGTCAACCGACTTCATGCGACCTCATGCTATCACGTGACACAACGACTCGACCACATGACGTGAGGTCACGTGACATCTTCGTCTTGCGTGACGCAAGCTGGGTGTCGAATCGTGGTGTCACTGATGCAGCGACTTCACGTGATGTCGTGATATGATTTGGGACCTAAAGTCTTCTCCAAGGTGTATTTTAGTGGTGTACTTTACCTTGTGAATTTTCGAGGCGTAGCTCGTTTCCCGTAAAAAATGACAAACGTCGTTAACATAATAATCGGCGGGTGCAAAGACACCACAAAAATACACCTTCCTTTACAATTTGAGTTTGCCCCGTGCAGGCGCGGATTTTTGGGGCCGATTATGGACCATGCTCAGGTATGGATTAAAACCTCTCCATCTGGCTAATCATCTGTTTCTGTTTTCTTTTATTCGTTCAAATGTCGCCATTTGATATAAGACGAGCGCGAACAAGCGAACAAGGTCCTCTCGGAAAAGTTACGCCGGTCACCGACAAGTTTTGTTTGGTAGCGTGTAAAAATAAAAGCCCCCCCCCCCCCCCCCCCCCGAAAAAAAAAAAAAGAAAAAAAAGAAAAGAAAAGAAAGTCACGTGACTGGAGCGTGGCGATATCTCGCTGGCATTTTGAAGCTTCAAACGTGTGGCACTTATATTCTATACCGGTGTAACGCGAGAAACCACGAAAGCAGAAAATAGCTCGTCGTTCGTTGAAATGTTTAGTGTCAGAAAACATGGCATTTGCTTTCTTTGAATGCAGAGGAAGCAACGGAATCTGATGAAGCCTGAATTATATTTCGATTATTCGTTCGCCTCGTATAATTTGAAATGCCAAACCAAACCCTGCAAAAAAAAAAAAAAAAAGAGGGGGGGGGGGGGGTTTGTTTAGCTGACGTTTATGCGGATAGAAACTCAGGGACTGAGGGAGAGGAGGAGTTGAGACCGTTAGGGGAGGTCAGAGTACCAAGCTCTGGTTGGATTGATAAGTGCATAGATAAAAAGCTAGCTGTCATTGTCTCTACTTACACTTCGATCATTCCAACCAGAACTCGCTACTCTCTCGTCCCGGTGTGCTCTCATCTCTTCCTCTTTCTCAGTTTTCTCCCGACTTATTTTAGGATATCAAATACGTAATGTTTTCCCCCTTTTTTTTCTTCCACGGCTAGCCCTGTCGCGGGTACAGTTGAAGACAACATGGAAGATGGTAACCCGCATGATCGCCTACTACGTCGCGAGCACCATGCTCGCCTCCGTCGTCGGTATCGTCATGGTGGCCTTCTTCACTCCTGGCCGCCAGATCCTGCAGACGGACATCAGCAAGATACCTGTCTCTGGACTGGACACCTTCCTGGACTTCATCAGGTACATGCCTCCCAAACCCGAAGCACTGGGCCGACATGATCGCCGACCCTTTTAGACCCGGCACAAGGCTTAAAAGAACGTCGAAGCGAATTTCCAATGTGCTGTTGACGATGAATCATTGTTCATGGTGCCTCCACGGAGCTGCTGATACAGCTACGCATTCGAAACAGGCTTCAGAATCTTCTAAAACAAACGAAACATGGCCATTAAGCCTCAGTCCCGCTGGTCACAGATCATACAAAAGACAGGCTGTTTCGCTGCAGACATGGTGACAAAACATTTTGCGGACACGTCACATGCGTCGTCGAAGTATGTTTGCCTAATGAATGTTTATGCTTCGAACATGTCTGTAGACAGCTCTTGTATGGCCAACATGTCCGCAGAAAGTTCTCGCATGTTCAACATGTGTGCAGACAGTTCTTGTATGACCATCAATTCTGCAGACAGCTCTTGTATGGCCAACATGTCCGCAGAAAGTTCTCGCATGTTCAACATGTATGCAGACAGTTCTTGTATGACCATCAATTCTGCAGACAGCTCTTGTATGGCCAACATGTCAGCAGATTGTCTCTTGTATGATGCATCAACAGTGTGTCTGCAGCTTCCAAGACAATACCGGCGACCCTTTCTCCCAAGAATTGAAAACGTGAACGGTCATTTTGACCGTGGTCAAAATGTGAAGACGTGGATAACTCAGGCGCAAGTCAGTCGAATGCTCAAGCAAGAGCCTGGAGCATCGAAATACGCTTTGACCGCGGATGTCGCCATATGCCGTAAAGAACGCAACCCCCCCCCCCCCCCCATCGTGCCATCTTCTGCCGGAGAAACATACAACATTTACAACCCCGTGTAGCCGTATACAGTCGAGAGATTCCAGTAGCGTCACCCGGTAGTAAGCGACACGGGGTATAGTGAATCCTCCGACGGGTAATTCACTACCGTAGGACCACTTTACGAGTGATGGGAAAGAGAGCGATGCGGGCAGTTTGTTTATCTTCGCATTTCTTGCCTCCGAACGAAGCTTTTTTACCGTCAGCACTTGCACGAATAGTTTTGGAACAGTACCCCAAAAGTCGTACACGGTTTACGCGTCATGGCACCCTGCTGGTGATCATTTCTCCTTGTTCTTGCACATTGAAACGAATTCGATAACTTTAAGTGTATTCTGAAAAAAAAAAGAAGGTATACGCGCTTTGCAGCAAGGCCATCGCAACGACCGTCGAGATAACGTCAATGTAAGCCGCGTAAAACTTTCCAGCGGCTATCAATCGTAAAACAATTTAATTATAAAAAAGCCTAAAGTTTCTTTTAGTTTCCCTTTGCAATCACTCAAGCCTCTGTCACACTGTTAATACATAGTACAAAATATAGTCTACAAACACCACCTAAGGCGCGTTTCTTTCTAGTTTGATTGCGCCGTTACATTGGCCATAGAAAAGCTGTGTGCAGGCATGTTAGAAGCAAATATCCTTCCAACATGATTTAGGCGTGTACGCAGATTATTGTTTCATGATGTCTTCTGCGAACGCCGCGTCTTATATAAGATGTTCGAGCAGTGCGACCCCGGCTTTAAAGGTGACCAATTCTCGTTGGTATACAGAAACATGTTTCCGGAGAACATCGTGCAAGCCTGCTTCCAGCTGCATCGGTCGGTGCGGGTGGTCGAGCCGCCCCGCTTTGTGCCGCGGGGCATGAACGCCAGCGACCTTCCGCCCGTCGTCACCAGAACCCTGCAGTACTCCGATGGCCTCAACATTTTCGGTAGGCATCCTCGATTAACGGCCTGTATTGAAAAGTGCAGATTCACTGCGCGTGTGTGCATTGCCGACACTCGTGTCACTTATTTGTACATTTTAACGGGTCTAGGTTGAAAAATAATGTTTTACTGATAACTTATAAATAGAGTTTTTTTTTTTTTTTTAATAGCGTGTGGGACACGATAGCAAAATCAAGGTAAGTCTCGCATTGCAGTTGAATGAGCATTCATCGACCACAAGGGAAACCAAGCGAAGTATGTACCAATATGCAGGGTGTGTCTGTAAATACATTCAAAAATTTTTATACAAATATGGTCGTTGAAATAGAAGTATTTTTGTGGAAAAAAACAGCCAGCTACGCCAGACGTCAAAGATTGCAAAAATAACACAAAAATGAGCACAATAAATATCGGAAGTTCGCTAATTAGCTTTTTAATTAGTGAAATTAAACATCTACGGTTTCAATTCGAAATTTGCTGAGCATCATCGAAAACCCCTACTTCAGCCTATTTTAGGACGGCCTGAAGCACCCGTGAAGACTGAAGGTCGCTAAAGTTCGTGCTGGTGATGCGAAAGTGAGGATGATAGGAAAATCGTCTGCGTATTCGCATCACCAACATTCCGCCTGCTGCACGAGTAGGAACTTTAGGGCACCCTTGCGCTTCTCGTCTGCTTCAAACCCTCCTCAAATTGACTGATTTAGTAACTTTGAATTCTAATTCAATTCAATTTTTCTTTACGTGCTTACTCGGAGTCCCGAGGCTTTTGCGGTGAAACAGAAAATATGAGATACATATTCACCTCAAATATACGAGCTTAAAAGTCATATACACAAGCTTAAAACCATACACACGCTTACAATTTATACAGATACTTATACAGGGGACAAGTCTGTTAAAAAAATATCATTGTTGCAAACATCTCATGTAATATGTTGATTAAATGATACCGGTGAAAACTTGTGATGAAGATTTGGATAAAATACTGTACGATTTCTTTATGTTGTGCAAAGAGGAATACGGAAGTGTAGAGGAGCGACACGAGTAGGACTGTCTATTGATCCATGAAGTAACTATGCAAAAACTTAACACACCAAGTAGACCTCCTGCTATCTAAAGTCTTAAGGCCCGTTCACAGTCTCGCGACCGAGTAAAACTGAGAGAGACCAGACCGGCTTTTAAGCCTCTTGCGATCTCTTAGGATCAGCTCCGCTGCAATGCATCCGGCCCTAAGAAGTCGCAAAATGGCTTAAAAACCGGTCTGGTCTCTCTCGGTCGTACTCGGTCGCAAGAGTGTGAACGGGCCTTGAGATAGTCTAGATAAAATCAAATTATAATCATAATATTATTTGCAAGCAGAATATATGTCGTAGATTATCAGTACAAATCGTTTAAGATAGATAACTGGGCAAGTTGGTAAGAGTTCATGATGAAAAAACAGCGCGACTGGGACAAGGACAAAAGACGAAGAGAACACAAGAACGTTAGATTTATTTTCTCTCTCTCTCTTTCTCTCGTTCTTGGCATAACCTTATGCATTGATTTCAGAAAGAAAATGGATATCATATGAGTGTTTAATCTCTATGTCGGAAATATTCTATTCAATGGTAATGGAGTAGCCGGTCACGCCTTAGAATGACTAACATCTCCATTTATTATTTTTAACTCATATTGAAGAAGAAGAAGACATACCACCTTCAGTTAAACAAAATCGTGAAGGTGTTCAAAGCTTGTTGGAAGATTATGAAACGTTACCTTAATGGTTGAGTGTTGCAGTCGAAGTTTTGCTAAGGCTCAGAAGATATTTTAGCAAAGCGTAGGATGCCGTACTGGAAGATTCTTTCTGTCTTAAATCATACCCACGCAATCGAGTCCGCTCATTCCACCATCTGCGAGATGTCTTTCAGCTGGTGCTATCTTTAATGTATATCTAAGCAAACAATTTTGCTTCAATTTCGCTTTACTCGTACAGACTCGGAAATAATTAAAACAGAAAAGGAAAAAAAAAAAAAAAAGAAACGCGCTTTACAATGTTGTGATAGACACCCCGAGTTGAGTGCCAGTCTGTGTCACACAAGAAACATTGGACTGTTCCTGCAGGAATCGTGGTGTTCTGCTCTGCGTTCGGCCTCTTCGCCGGCTACATGGGCGAGGCGACGGCTGTCATGGTTGAATTCTTTTCCGTCCTCAACGTTCTCAGCATGAAGTTGGCCTACCTCGTCATGTGGTAAGCCCGCCCCCTGTCAAGACTACTCGGCAAGTTTCATGGCCCGTTCACACGCTTGCCCTTGCTTGGGACCGAATTTTCGCGATCTCCTACGACGAGAAAACACACTGCCACGCTGGCGCCACCTATGAGGTGACCCTGCTGCCGTTAACTAGAGCGAAGGTTTTGTGGTTATTTGCGAGATAAAATTTATGTGATAATAATGAGAAATAGCCGTTTGTGACAGTTTTAAATGTTTTTTAGGCCGAAAAAAAAAAAATGCGCGAAAAACTTTACGGAAATTGCAGGTATTTCACGTTACCCAACAGATGGTTACAGCGTGTTCTCTCGTTGTAAGAGATATGAAGATGTTTGGAGGCGCACGCTTCTAAGCAGTGGCAAGTGTGAAACAAACTTTAGTCCGACGTGGGATGGCCAGTAAATATAATCTTTTAACACACGTAAAGGTGCTGCGGAAACCCGTCGATCCTAGAGCGGTAGAGAGAGAAAGAAAGACAGAGACAAGCCACTCAGGATGCCGTCGGTGCCATGTTACGATGGGCAAATGGAACGCGTGTTCGAGGTGACAAGCAAACTTTGACAACAATAATCCAAAATGTCACGATGGCGGCAATGGGCTCGTGAACGACATAAAGCCTGTCGTTACCTGAAGCCGGCTCTCGCATCTTTAAACCTCAACGTTCAATCCTGCTGCAGGAACCGGCGTCACTTAACCAAACATTTACCCGATATCGAAATACAGTAAGTAGATACCGGTAAACATTTCTAAAAAAATCAAGATGGAGGCTACAAAGAGGCGACAAACACAAGACGTCTCAGACGTCTTGTGTTTGTGTTGAGACGTCTTGTGTTTGTCCCCTCTTTGTAGATTCTGTCTTGGGTTTTAGAGATGTTTTAACTTTAACCAGCTCCGCTGTCTTATTACGTTCTCTAGATACCGGCACTCCTTATTCACTCAAAAATGTCGCTAAGTGCGATTTTAATGCGATTAAATGCAAAGGTGCAAGCGAGCTGAATTTGCGTTTGTCCTTTTTCCCTCTTGTTACCCTTTTCCAGGGATTATTTTCGTCGTCGTCGTCGTCGTCCCTAAGTACGTTGTTCGTTATGGCGATTGAGTAGAAACGCGTTACCTGAGCACCAACGTAACGAGTTATTGTCTCGTTACCCCGAATTGTCGTGCCTATCAAACGGTCACCGATCCCAATATTGATCGTCGTTAATATTTCCTCGCCTTTTGACGTGTTAATTCGTGAAAAACTGTGACTATACTGGCATACCTTGTGGACGTATTTTTATGGTCCATCTAGCGTCATCTCGTCGTACAATTGACTGGTGCGAGATGGGATGAGAACTAGGATGTGTACTTGTGTTGTACACGTTCCCCTTCTGAAGTAACTAGTACCGCTATTCGTTACGTCATCAAAAAGTAACGGAAATACGTTACTCATCGCTTCTCGCCACTTGTTTTTGTGCTTTCGTCGCTGCAAGTTGTGACAACGATACGGCATATGAGAACTATACGGTTGTTATTTATATTTTCGTTGAACATCCGAATTGTGCTTTCATTAGTTGTGTTTCCCTGCACCACAACTGCCACGTCCCACCTGCAATTTCAGTTGTAAAATGGGAAAACATTTAATAAATTGTATTGTATTGTACTGCACTGCATTATCTTAAAACGTATCTAGGTCGTTACTTTGTTACCAAGAAAAGTGACAAGAATCAAGTAACGTACAACTTTTAACGCGTTAGGTGCAAGCCTTCAGTTAATCGACAATCAAAAGGGCATTTCTGACGTCAATGCCGAGTTGACGTTTCCTACTGCACCAATTCTTCAAGGGCTGTTACTGGAGCGAAGCTATACGTGATAAATAAATAAATAAATAAAATAAAACTTTCCAGGTACTTCCCAATCGGCGTGGTGTTCCTGCTGTGCGCTTCGATCGGCCGCGGCGACGACCTGGGCGAGCACGCCTTCAACATTGGGGTCTACATCGGAACGGTGATGACGGGCCTAGCCATCCACTCGCTGGTGGTGCTTCCGCTCATCTACTACGCCTTCGTGCGCAAGAACCCGCTGGTGTTCGCCAAGAACCTCTTGCACGCTTTCGTCACGGCCTTCGGAACCTCTGACAGGTGGGTGGCACGCAGTATAACCCATTACCTTTTTCAGTAACGTAGTAGCGTACTATTTAATTTGTCAAAACACTAATGGGTAACTTACTCCCGTTACTTATTTCAAGTAATGGGTAACGTAGTTACGTTACTCGTTACATTTTCGTAAACCCTAAAAAAAAGTGCACTTAAATCTTGTTCGTGTCGACGCTACGAGCTGATGGGATCAATCGGACATCGTCAAAAGCGTATCATCCTGGTGTTTGTCGTGTTTCTGTACGTGTTCTATAATCGCTGAGCCAATCATAGACAGGAAAGGCCCAGTGACTGGCTATTTTGACGCAGCATGATTGGTCCCCTTAGCTCGTAGCGTTGGCTGAGTCTGGACATGAGCTGAAACAAAGTATATGCGCCAAGTCATTAAGTATCGCGCTCCTTCCACATCCCTTCAAAAGGTTGCCTCTCTTTTCCCCGCGCAAAAAGTCCCACTTTAGAGAAACCCGAACGCCCTAGCCCTCTGTCTTAAAAAAAGAAAAAAAAAAAACACGTTGTTAACGGTAATTGATAGACAAACAAATAACGCAAAAGTAGTGTGCGTCACTTTGATCGGTAACGCGTTTGTTTTATATTGAGGTAACGTAAGTCGGTAACGCGTTCCTTAAATTTATTTTACGTGTAACGTATTTCGTTACTTTTGTTTTAGGTAACACCTACAACGTCATAGACACTAACACGCCTTTTCCAGAGGCTTCAGTAGCAGTCCTACTGCTCTTGCATATCCTACAGGAGACACGCTATTCGCTGGAAACACGAGGGAATTCTCTAAGGACTCTTCTCAAGTATGTTCCAAAGCATGTTGGCTTGATACATATGCTTCGAACATACAAGGAAGAAACGCCCCAGACAGTGTTGACCGCTACTTTACACCCATGGCTACACCCCTTCAACACCCTAATTTTAAACGACACAGCGGTAAGATTGCCAGCATTTCATCTTTTTTTTTTTTTTATGGCATCCACCAGCAGTTTAAGTGTGTTTCTGTAACATCTTCAGGGTGTAAGCCCTGGTACAAGCTGATTTACACACTTAAGGGTGTAAAACAGGTTAGTGTGAGCGGTGACGTAGCTGTCATAGCTACGCCTGCTGCACGAGGGTTAGTGCAGCTGAGTTGCGCTGCAGTATACATGTTCTGGTGAGACGAAATAGAGTGAAGTAGGTTAGTTGTAAAGTGAAAACTTCTATTCGTATTTAGCATAACGACACCTATCAAGTTGCATTTAAATTGTGGGGTTCTCGACGAGGCTCGATAATATCAGGTGTATTCTTCATTCTTTTACTCACAACTGCAACCGTGGACTTTCATTATCTTGCCTTGATGGAGCACGGACGTATCAAAACCATATGCTGACAATCTCCAGTATAGTTTACATGGCGCACCGGAAAGAGCACCGGATTCGTTGCCTGACCCGCTTCACAGCGCAATGGATGCAGACTGCAGTTCTTTTGAACCACGAATTGCGCTGTTTGTAACACTACTCTATTGGAGAAAATGATTTGACATAACTATGTACTCTATAGTGAACTTTGCGTTGGATACTTAATACCCTCATACAGTCTAAACAAATTGTCACTGTTTAACTGGACTGCTTTTTTTATCATCCTTAATAGCTAGGGACGTAAATCAGTCAATCAAAACTTATGTTATAACTTTAAAAAAAAAAACACATACACCCACAAAAAAAATTTTTTTTTTGTTGTTGTTTGGCAAATAAGCGCCCTTAACTCTTGAACTTGACGATAAAAAACTAACAACTATATAATGATCACGGGATACGTGATGGGAAGAACACGATGAAATACGTTCAAACATGTAAATGTGACGACCAAATCATTTCACTTATTTTTGTTGTTGCGCATAATGACGACCTTGTCATTTTCATGCCAGAAATCAATTAACGGGATAAGTCTGTTGGTTATTTAATGATAAATTTCGATGAACATGAAATAACATTATGCTATTTACATTTTTTTCTCTCAATTTATGAAGGTACACATGTCAAGTCTAAATCCGCAGTCACACTATTAGTGCATCACACAAAAGACGGTCTGCGGAATTTTTTGAGGCGTGTGTGACGCTGCAGTCATATTGATCATAAAAAAAAAAGAACGGTCTACAAACATGTTCGAAGCGTACATACGCATGAAGCAAACATGCTTAGAATATGCTTGAAACGTATTCCCACATAATTATGTCCTAATGCATGTCTGCGTCGAACGCCGTGTCTTTTGTAGGATGTATGAGCAGTGTGAACCCCGGCTTTAAGTGACCAGTGCCTCGTCAAGTAGCCCGTTGATAGCTCAGTTGGTAGAGCGGTGGACTGTAAAGGAATGGCCTCGTCAAGCTCCTTAGTCGATTGCATGCCCCTTTACGGACCCTGTCCGAAAAGAATAAAAAACGTTTGATGGTGTCACTAATTTTCTCTTCCTGGTCTTCCAGCGTGGCAACGTTACCCGTGACCTTCATGTGCCTGGAGCAAAACAACAAGTTGGATCGTCGGGTCACCAGGTTCGTTGCCCCCATAGCGTCCGCCTTCAACCTGGACGGCACTGCGCTGTACGCCGCCGTAGGCACCATCTTCATCGCCAACCTCAGCGGCATCGAGCTCGACTTCGCCCACTACCTGGCCATATGGTAAGTCGGAGGCGAGCTCCTGAAGCTCGCGTCATAGGACTTGAAAAGCGACCTCAAGGTGAAATTCGACGTTTCGTTAAGTCTTAAGCCGGGATCACGTGGCTTATCATACAAAAGGCACCCTGTAGACACCAGTCATCGCGGCATCCGTGGTTTGAATGCTCCTTGCCAAGTTTCTCCTTGAACTCGTTGCCATGCGGCATTCGAAGCACGGATCTCGTGGTGGCTTACGTTCAATTCTGTTTGCAGACTCTTTTTTTGTATGGTGTATAAGTAGTGGGACCCCGGCTTAAAGGTTCTTTGGGACACCTGAAGCTGAATTTTAGCTAAGCGTCGGCCGTCATGGTGAAAAGAACTCGACAAGCGTTTCTTTTTTTTTTTTTAAGCTTTATGCCACGGTAACACTTTTAATACATTATACAAAAGAACGCCCGCAGGCACTGTTTGAGGCACGGAGGTAGAACGCTTCAGGAGGAGACATGCGGCCACCAGAGGTGAAGCCAGGAGTGAGGAGGGACATGCCCCCCAACGATGACCCAAAACCAAGAGACGCTATTGGACGAAAAGGCGTGAGCTCTTATTTGTATGACCAGTGTCACCGAGGCTACAGAGTGCCGTCCGATGCTTCGCCAAGAGTCAGAGCTTGGCTGCAGGACTCTCAAGAAACTCAGAATATAAGCGAAAAGTCGGCCGTCATAATATGAAGATCTAAAACAGGACCTTCTGAAAGCGAGTGTTGTACTTGAAACTTCCATCAGATCTCTTTGTCAAGTTGTTCATGCCTTTATGCTACCTCCACGTTTTGTCTTGCTCTAGTCCCTAGAGCTACTTGCTTGGAGTCTAGAATGAATTGATTAAGTGGGATTTTATTTTAAAAAAAACACTGATTAACAGGCGTATTATATACGAATCTAAAGAAAGACCTTAAAAAAAAAAACGTAAAACCGAGGTGACTTTTGCATATGGAGCGTGTTATAGACAAGACTCCCTTGTTTAGTAGAGAAAGAGATAATCAAAAAGGTACTCTCGACACCGGCTCTCAGCAGCACTGGCTATTGATTTTGAGTTTGTGTATAAGCACTTAGAAACAGCAAGCAGTGCACCTGGAGCATGTCTTACAGAATATGATGCTGACGTAGTTTGACTCGCACCCTGCTCAAGCTTTAGCAGCTCATACGTTCACTCATTTAGTCCTGAAGGCTCCCCTAAACGGATTCGTGTGCCATAACGCCCATAAAGATTGGTAACACTCTGTGTACGGAAGTCCAGAATAAAAATATAGTTTGTGGTTCTTTTATGTCGGCTTCATATAAATCAAAACTGTCAAGGCATTTAGGTATGGTATAGTGTTATCGAGAGCACTTTCAAGATATTCGCTAGTTAAATATTATATCTCGCATCATCTATGAAATAAAAGTTGCGCAGATAGCGAAGTCCTCCCCCTCTTTTAACAAGTCACATTTACTCTGAACATTAACACACAATACGTAAACAAGAGGGTTTGCTTACAGAAAGGGTAGGCATTACGCATCTGCAAGAACCCGTTGTTTATTTGAAGAGCGAAGCATTTGCAGATATGACCTGGCACGACGTCAGATTCATGAGTTGGCGTTTACGGACTCTGCACTCCTACTATCCAACTGTCGCCATCAGAGGATCATAAGAAAGACCTCAGAGTCAAAAGAGATTACGCTCAATGTCTATGGCCGAACGCTTCGATCACGGGATAGAAAATGCACTTAGGGAAGTGCTAAAAAATGATCAACAAGGCGAAAAAAAAAACGACTTATCTATTTATTTATTTCCATTGACCTTTAAGAACCCCTCATGGAGGGTATTACAGAAGGTTTTAACACTTGCGTTTGTAAAATTAGTAAAGAAAACAATAGATACGAATAAAATGGCACAAGAAAGTATGCATGGTAAAATGGAAATCAATCAAGAGCAAAACATTGTGAAGGAACTTTCGTTTTCTTTCCCATCCCTTTTTTTAATTATGAGGCAGCAGTGAGCATGACTTCGCTCCATTTATTTTTGAAATGAAGAGGATGAGAAATGAAATGATGCTGTAAGGAAGGGCATTTCATTCTTTCGCTGCTGGGAAAAATGAAGCAGACGAGGTGACTGTTTTAGTTTTGGTGCGCATCACATTAAGTGGATGACTGATACGTTAAGGAGTTCGTGCAGATTGCATGATGTACGTTTATTTTGGCTGGAAATCGTAATGTAATCTCTGAAAGAGTGTTAGTGCAAAATATTTTCGGTGATGTAATAGGTTATCTAGCTGAGCACGTTCCTCTAGGCCGGTGACACTTATTTCATATGAATAGCTAGAATAAATGAACCTAACTGCACGATTTTTAATTGCTTCTAATTGATGACAGGTAATTTTGGAATGGATTCCATATAGCGACAGCGTACTCTAGCTTTGGCCGGATTAGTGTTTTATAGGCGGAAAGAATTAAGTTTAATGGTACAAATCTGAGGTGATGTTTTAGTTGTCCGAGTTGTCGGTAAAGACGACGTCAACTGCAAAAAGGTTAGCGCGCAACGTCTTACCTAGAGGAGCACAAGTGGACGACATTGACCCAGCATTAGATACGTAGCTGCAGAAAAACAGAAACTATAAAGTAAAGGCCTTTCGACTGACCATTCCTGTTTTTCTGTTTTTGGCGCAACGTTGACAGCGTGGCAGCAGCACTGACGAGCTTCGCGAACCGTGGCATCCCCAACGCGGGTGTCATCACCATCATCCTGGTGCTCAAGGCCGGAGGCATCGGACCTGCTCACGTGGGTCTCCTTCTGGCCGTTGATTGGATCATGTGAGTATATCCTATTTCGACTAAGGATGCCCGTAATAAAGTGGGCTGGAAACAAATGGTGTTACAAGCTATAGCCAATGACAATTTAGAAACGGCAAAACGTAGCAAATACTAGGCACAAATAGAAAAAAAAATTACATTGCTACAGATGGGCAAACTTCTGCCATAAACTAAAAAAAAAAAAAGTACGTTGTGCGACGGCAAAGGATGTGTGACTGTCCCGAGGAAGCGCGGTACTGCTGGTTTTCCGAACTTGGTACGTCCAGGAACGCTCTGAACCAGAAAACGCGTTGGCAGCCGAAAAAGGGATGGAGCGTTCCAGAAGAAGGTTGGTTGATATAAAATGAAAGCCGTTTACAACAGCCTGTGACACCGAATTAGAGCGCAGCTCTTGAGGAGGAGGAGGGAAGGGCACTGAGGGGAGGGTATACCCTCCTCCTTACCTCCTCATTCTCCCTCCTCGCTCCTCTTCCTCTTCCTCGTCCTCCTCCTCCTTCACCTCTTCCTCTTCTCATCCTTCAAGCTCCTCCCTTCCCACCTCCTCCTCCCTTTCCCCCTCCCCTCTCTCTCTTCTGTTCCACTCCTCCTCTTCCCGTGCGTTGCATTGTGGGAAATGTCTCATAATGCACCGCGCGGTTACGCCGACACCGACGGCGACGGCGACGGCGACGGCGACGCCGCTCAAGCCGGAAACGGGCGCCTAAGAGCTGCGCTCTAACATGCGGGAGTCGCCTGCGTTGCCAGCACCGCCACGCACACGGCAATAGTTGTAAGTCCGGAAAAGCCTTAACGCATGTGTTAATGGCGCCATTAAACCTAGCAAAAAATCGAATATATTTTTATTTGTGATTACGATTGTTGTGAATTGAACCCCGCATACTTCGGAAGTTGCGAACCAGATGCCCCCCCCCCATAAGCCGCCGCTGTTTAAAAAAAAATAATTAAAAGCTAAAAAAAGTGAACTTGATTTAGTGTATTCAAAGCTGCTCCTAATTAATCGGGGCGCCAACATATCATCGGCGCTACCGTGCAAACATCTCCCAGGTCCCACCGGAATTCCTCGCCAAGTAGGTTCTATGGCCGTTTTTAATAACCCTCGAGGAAACCCAACGCCGACGGAACTTGCTTCGTTCGATCGTTAACGACTTTTATGTTAGTTGCTTTCCTTTTTTCCCCCCTACTCAGGTATAAACCTTCGTGGTCAAGGAAGGCTCAACTCTTACGTTAGCGCCATTTTACTCAAACTATTTCGCCAAGCCAGAATCCCTTTGCGGAAAACAAGTCGTCTGCTTCCTGCGCAGCAGTTGCGGTGTTGTAAGAAAGAAGCTGAGCTCTGATTGGTTTTTATTGAAAGATAGTGGGTAGACCTCAAAGCAAGCTGCCTTGAGGTCTACCCACTATCCTTCACTCAGAACCAACCAGAGCTCGGCGTTCTGACGTCATCACAATCCGTGCAAAAGAAGTAGACGAACTTGCTCTCCGCATACACCAACTCAACCCTGACGTCACGACACTGCGGTGGCGCTGCTGTCGTCACTGAGCATGCGCACGCGTTTCACATCGCGGGTACCTGGTTTCTGCGTACACGCAGCGCGGCAAACGCTGACTTGTTCGTAGACAATGTGTTGGTCTATAGACGTACATACATTTCCAGAGATTATTGCCCAACATCAAATGCCGAGTCACTTATATGTGGACGCCAGCGCAGCGTCTGCTAGTACCGCGAAAATGAGCTATTGTCACAGTCTCCTTTATTCTAGAAAGCCTGTCACTTCCACGACGGAGCCATTGAGCTCCAGGCCGCTGGAAAAAGGCGAGGAGCAACGCCAAACGGTTAGCGGTACGGTGGCGCAGAGCCGCTTCTGGGGTGATCCCTCAGCCGGTGCCAAAAATACGCGCGGTGGCCTTTCCGCGAAACAACAAGAAACCGCAACGTAAAAAAAAAAGGAAACGGGAGATGGACAGAATTGTGAAGGGGCGCCGCAAAATTTTCGTTCCCCCCAAAGAAAAAGTAAATAAAAAGGAACGCGTTTATGTGTTTGGATTTTACCGCTGGGGCATTGTTTAGATCTTACCGAGAGACCCCCTGGGCGAGCCCTCTTCCCTGATCTCTTTTCCAGTTCACAGCAGCCATGTTCTTTCGCGATTTGGAAGGCTTTCTAGAACGAAGGAGGCTATGCTACTGCTCATGTTCAGAAGGCATTTCACAGCGCAGAAGAAAAAGATGGCAGCTTGCTAAAGGTGGCAATTGGAATGGTCCACGTTGTAATTGATTTTACCGCGAGTTTATTTCCGGCAGTTCGGTTTTACACATCAGTCTTTATTACACCGAAATAACCGGCGACCTTAAGTGTCTACGCTGACTACATCGGCGCACCTTTGTCATGTAAAATTAACGAAAAAAGCATTACTTAAAAAAAAAAAAAAAACAGTATATACTTTACCGGTTAATGTGCATAATAATAATTGGGATTGTACGGATATTTATACAACCATTTTAAAGTTGCGACGAGTCACTCGCTGTAAATGAGCAATTTAGCCAGTGCAGTACAAACCGCTAGCCTGGGGTCCTTAACGTGCACCATGCAGTAGTGATACATGACCACACGCCGGTACGATGCTCATCCAGATCGAGAAGGGCAGGGATGGGGATTGTACACAGGATCCCTGCATGTTGGTCTAGTTGACTTTCTCTTAAAGGCAGCGGTACGCCATAACCACAGTGTCTTAGCTCCTATCAGTTCTGGAGTGCTTGCATAGAAGATATTGAGATTAAAATTATAATAAACATTGATTATTCGATCAGACCTATGTTCGTTCCTTTCCACTTTTAACGGCCATAGTCATAGAATTAGCCGCTTTGTTGGCCATTTGCTCCACCAGAAGCATCGCTCTAGTTCCACGGTTACACAATATATCATTATGACGTAGTTAGTAGGAATAATATTTGTCTTCACTTGCAGAAGTAAAGGTAAAGCAAGAGTGCCGGCCAACACTGACGGAGCTGGTATTTGAGCGCGATGACTACAAGTTTTCACCATGCCCTTTACACACATAATCGAACTTGCCGTTCGCGACTTACGATAACTAGACGAGATACAAAGGATTGTTTACGTGCGTCCGTAAACACTTATGGCGAATTCCACTGGTCGTTTTGGAGCGCGCCGGGATCGACTTTTCTGGAGCGAGCCTATTTCACTGGGTCACTGGGTCATCGGGATCAAGACCGACGTGTTAGACTGGTCGTTTTGGATTAGCTCCCGCTCCAGATCTTGATCTGGATCCGAGAAAAGTCGCTCCCACGATTTTGGCGGATTCAACCGGAAGCCAGCCGGGCCAGCCCTTGGCGCACACACGTGACTTCCTTTCTCGTGGGGCATCTCGTCTGATCTCGCCCTTCTCGCCTCAGAAGAAGAAGAAGCACGTCGCGGGCTGGGCTCCTAGATTGTCTCGACATCGGAAGAATTCGTAATGGCCGCTTGCTTACCCCTTGGCTCGACAGCCGGTTCGTTTTCCAGGAAGGAGAAGAGAAGGTATTTGCCGCGCTACGGGCATCCCGGCAATCTTTGCTAGAAGCGCCTGAGACATTCCTGCCGCTCGTGCGTCGAGTCGAACACGTGTTAGCGACGTGATTGCGAAAACGTCTTCGAAACGACCGCGGCGGCTGCGGAAAGGCAATTCCCGGGCAGTTGAATGACGGGAAGGCATCCACCGATCCCGGAGCAGTGGTCATGTTCATCTGGGGATCCGTAGGCGGCGCGACCCCGTTTGGATCGTGTGCTCCAGTCCGGATCTGGTCAAGTGATCCCGGCGCGCTCCAAAACGCCCAGTGGAATTCGCCAGTAGATATCTAAATGGAGCGAGGAAATTTATCCGCTAAATTTTTCGGAAAATCTGAATTTTCATATGTGTACGAATGTCACGCCATGCTACGGCCCGTCACGTGACTGTGACGTCATGTGATGCCACACATTGTTGCGTCATGCGATACTGCTTTGATTACGCGACGTCATAAAATCGCGTGACGTCACATCATGCGGCACAGTGACGACGAATGAGACGCCTGTCATTGTGACTTTATAACTGATAAATATTACCCGCTCCTCGTCCACGGCCACGGAGAAGCACAAAACCTGACTGCTACAGATAATGTTTCAATGGCGACTGATTAAAAAACAAACAAAAAAACACGTGCTGCCTGCTTTCTTGTTATCGTCTTTATGTAGCTATTACTGACAAAAAGTCGTATTTTTCGCTCCCAATGTGCGAAGAAACGAAAGCAATAGATGTATCACGGTCGCACAACGCGGGTGGAATGGTGCCGTCACATAGTTGGAGGACGGAGGTGCGACGTGGTTAATTTTCATAGCCGTCGTGGTTTGCGTCATGGACGCCACTGATGGCCGCCACAAGTGCTCGGTGATCAGTGAGGTAACTGGGTAAACGGGGTGGAAGCTTCTAAAACCGTCCAACTTTACGCGTAGCAGTTGAATAGCGCCAAAGTTGGATTTCGCATAACGTGAGTAATGTTTGAAAACAAGTCTTTCAACTTCGAAGCAGACGACACGATGATTCCCCCTTCGTCGCCCAAATTCTTGCGGGACGCCAGGGCTGCACTCCTCGCTCGCATCGCGCGGCACGGCGTACGGTCAGTCCCGACTTCCCTCTTCTTGCGGCAAGAAAGGAGAGAAAAAAGTTTTTCCATTATTTGTGCGCACAGCGACGACAACGGACGAGGACGAAATCTCCGCCAGGTGTCGCCCATAAAGCTGTCGCTTTAAAACATCGTCCTCGCGTTTTTCTGCTGTTAAATATTCAACAATGACGTCACAGTCATAACTAGAGTTACGTTACAGTGTCCCGTTATAGAGTGTAACACACGTAACGTCGCGCGATGTAACATCACGTGACACTACAACGTCTCGTCATGTAACGCGGTGTCACATCCCGTGACGTGATGCGCCGTTACACGTCAACACGACGTGACACCGTCAAGTCAAGGATTCACGCGACACTGAAGCTTCGTGTGACATACCGTCACGTGATGGGACGTCAAGTGATACTGCGACGTCTCGTCATGTGTCGCTGTGTGACATGACGTCACGTGATGTGACGTTACGTGGCACCGTGCAGTAAAGCTTTCAGTGACACTGTGGCATTCTGTGACACAGCGGCACATGACGTGGCGTTACGTAACACTACATCGCATGACGCGGCGTCACGTGGCACTGCGTAACATGAGTAATGTCACGTGAGCACCGCCTCGTAACCGCGCGACCACCAAACCAAAAGGAATGTCATGCTATTCCATTACATCTCATTCGACAGCAGCCATAGAGAAAGCGTAGTTTTTACTTCCTCGAAAGGTTACTATATATTGATCAGGCTCGCCGAACCGCCTCGCCAATCGCAGCCGTTCACTGAAGCGTTTTATTGCTCCGTAAAAAAAAGCTAGCGAACAGTTTGTCCGCATGACAACGTTTGTTAAAGCAGACGCCGTCACCCGTGCGTCACGTGGAGAACTGGTCGAGCTTAATAATTGCTGAAAGATTTATTATACGCAACAACTTTAAGCAACCCACCTCACCGACTATTAAAAACATTATACTTGGTTTTGAAGAAACCTAAAGCCGGAGTCATACTGCTCATAGGTCATACAAAAGGCAGTCTGCGAATACGAATCACCGCAATATCCGTGGTTTGAATGCCGCGTGCCAAGTTTTCTCCATGAACTCATTGCCAGGCGGCATTCGAAGCACGGATCTCGCGGTGACTCGTTCGAATCTCTATGCAGACTGTCTTTTTATGATGTCTAAACAGTGTGAGCCCGACCCAGAGACTTATCAAATCCCAGGATGTTCAATCACCCTGTACATTCAAAAGATACTTGCAATAGGCCGATCTCACTAGCCAGTTAGACTATACCACCGATGCCGCAATGCACAGAGGGAACTTTACAGTCATGGGTAAGTTACTTTTAAAAAGTAATTCGTTACAGTTACAGTCACTTTCAGAAAAAAGTAGCGAAGTTACCGTTACAGTTACCGCAACAAAAGAGTCACTCGTTGCAGTTACAGTTACTTTTACAAAGTAACGACGTTACTTTTCAGTTACTTTTCTATAACACAAAAAAAATTAAGAAAAAACTAAAAAACGCCCCTCACAAAGTTTTATTGCATAAAATTAAGAAGCACGCTTTTTACTTCATATTGTAACTTAGCAGCAGTTGCTTCTCGAAGTTAGTGTTTGGAAGTTTCCACGCCAGAGTAGTGGCGCAAATCAAAATACGAAACATGCGCAGTGCGGAGTAGTGGCACTAATCAAAATACGAGACATGCGCAGTGTCCTTCACGTGTATTGTTGTTTTACGGTTGATTCACCCAAGTAAAAAGCATTTGCACAGAAAAAAAAAAAGAAAAACCACAACATAGGTAGGGCTTCAAGACACTAAGATGTAAGTGTTCAGGCACAAAGTACAAGCGCGTGCGTAAAGGTAACTAGATATTTTTTCATAAAATCTACACGTGGCTATATTCGGGTCGTGACTCGCGAGAAAGAACGTATTCGCAACTTTGTGCAAGGCCAACTTGACACTCAAAATGTCGGAATAGACGATTTGAAAACTGCAAGGAATGACTAAATTGTACCCTCGTTCAGTGATATATTATTCATAAAACACTGAAAAATAACGACAAAAGTAACGTCTTTACTTTCATCGTTACCTCAGAAAAAAAGTAATAGAACTACAGTTACAAGTTACATTTTAAAAAAGTGACTCGTTACAGTTAAAAATCACATTTTTAAAAAGTGACTCGTTACAGTTACAAGTTACCCAAAAGTAACAAAGTTACTGTAACGCGTTACTAGTAACGCGTTACTACCCAAGACTGGGAACTTTATAGTCTTTCTGCACGTGCGACAACCCCGCTGGAGCAATGCGCGTGTGAAGCATGAGACGGCATGAACCCTCGCATGCACGGCAGTCTGCCTCCTGGGAACTAAAGTTATGGCGGCGGTCACGGATGCGCCGAACGCTTAGTGCGATCGGTTTATTGCAAAAAGCTCCCTCCATGTTAGCGCGTTTACAATGCTAAACGCCAGCTCTGGCTTGTACGCACGTACTAATACTGAGAAGACTATGTAGAATGCTTCAAAACTACTCGGGATCCCCTAGCGTATTTAACAAATATTTTTAAGAGAAATATTTTTTGTTTTTTTGTTTTAGCACCGTAGCCCTTTAGAACAACAAACAACAAATGCATCTCGCTGAAAGGTCAAGACACATTCTTGGCAATTTTTTCTATGTTTGAGAGTCACCAAAACATTACATAAAATATAACTACAGGCAGTGAATGTTGCAACAAAAAAAAAAGCTAAATGTTTGTTTTTCTGTTATTGTTTTTGTGAATAAAAATTTGTTTGTGGCTTTGGTGGACAAACTGAAAAGAACTGCTTATAAACAGGTCACAGCGTTCAGTCATTTTAACAGAATTTTTGACGACAAAACATTATCACCTTTTTGGTTACTCAAGCAACCTTCCACAGTTCCGCTCACTCACCCACATGTGCTTCGACGACCAGTTGGTGATGCTAAAGTGTATAAAAGGTTTCTAACGACACATATTTGAAATATCTCGAAGTGCTCCTCGTTTGTCGCTCTGATGGAAAGGAAACCCACGGTGTCACCAACTTGCCGCAATGGAAAGGGCTTGTGAACACTTGGCGACAGGGTTAACCTGAACACGACATCAGCGTTTCTTCGCAAACTATACAGATATAGTATCGACACGCATCAAATTTAACCCCAAAGTTGAACTTTTAAATGAGCGCCTTCCAAAATATTACATTTTTGAAAACGGCCTTTCACAGAAACCTTTCCAAGCGTCAATAAGCAACACTGACTGCCACCATATGTTGGGCACAGCATCCTGCGCGAAGTGCGTGATTTAGATTAAAGTTCAGACCGAACGCTGTACCATTGCTCGCGTCCAACGCATGCTTAGAGCACATGCCCAAAATATGGAGGCCTCGGTTAATCGACGCAGCAGGTACCGGAAGGCGCGCACGTTTGATAAGGATCTATTCTAGTGCCCGAGTCCCACTAGAGCGACAAGCAGAAACAGCCGACACCAACAAGCCTCAAGCCCGTGCAGCATACACGTGAAGGTACCTTTAGCAGGCTTGCAGCCTCAGGGTGCTCGTGAGGTAAGCGCGAGTGATTGCAAAACTGCCAAAGGTAACCTTCGCATGCGTGCTGCACGTGCTTGAGGCTTGTCGGTGTCGGCTGGTTCTGTTTGTCGCGCTAGTAGGACTCGGGCATATCAAAGAAAAAAAGAAAGAGAAGCTGGCAACCACTTTTTCGTGCTCACAAATGTTCTTGACTGTGTCGCGTGCCTGGTGCCGGAAAAGGTTGTTCGCTTGCCGTAAAGCCTATTTAGTATAGACTTTGATTCCTGTCGGCCTCGAGGGAATAGCCCATGACGCGTCTTGTTCGACGTCCTCGCAGGAACCGCTGTCGCACGTGTGTCAACGTGCTGAGCCAGTCCATCGCGGTGGCCATCGTCCACAAGTCCGTAGAGATGGAGCTGAGGAGGAACCAGAACGCCCTCGAAGACTGGGGCAAGGACGAGCTCAGTCTCAGGCGGGCCAGCAAGTTCGCACCCCGCTAGCGGCCCGACATTTCATGCCTGCCTCCATTCACCACGTCCCGCCACTCCTGGTCAACGTCTCCCTGAACTCGAGGACTCACTGCTGAATCACGTACCGTCACCGGGAGTATTCCACGATACCGAATGAGCGGAATCCCCTGTCGCAGCAGTCTCATTTTCACTGTGCCTGATTGGTGAAGTCGGTGATAAGATACGAGTGAAGAGGATGAGCGCCATCTCGATGGGCTTTTAGCGCTGCTTGATGGGGTCCATCGGAGTGTAGTGTCGGCTGCCGTACGACTTTATATGAAACAAAGCACAGAGTGTGCGATGTGTATACATATGGCTTTCAGGTAGCGCCATTGTACCGTGCTCGTGGTCATTCGCACCTGTTCTTGCCGAGAAAAAAAAACGCATTCATTGCATGGTGCAAAATGTATGCCGCATAAGGCACGCGCTCTGCAGCAAGGCCACCCACAATGGCACCTGATGTGACATAATTGCGAGCCATGTATAAACACACTTCGCATAAGTTCGGAGTTGGCTCTCTTCCTGATCACACACGTCTACTCCATTATTTCACCCTTCTCCCTCGAGTATTTGTTCTTCTCCACCTTTCCTAACGAAAAGCCAGCCCCTGTCACCTCCAGAAAAAAAAAAAAAAGCCTATTGTTTATACGCCGTGGGAAATAGTTCTTGCAAGGTTTGGTTGTCGGGAGAAGGAATGACGCTTATGGCGTTTGAAACGTGTACGTCGTGATAAGCTAACATGTATCTAATCTAAAATGCACGAATACATGCTATATCTTAATTCTCCGCATTAAAGAGGGCAATTAGTAATGCTTCACGAGGAGCCGGACCTCTTTTTTATTGTTTTACTACGGATCAGGAGGTGAAAACGATTGTAGATAACAAAGTCGTATTGCTAAGTGTTTGACGCAATCTAAAGAAGGCCAACCACAGATGGGACACGAGTAAAATTTTCTCTAAAATACAACATCTTTCATCTTATTCTCTCTCTTTGGACGTGTGTTTGGGATAGCGTTTGGCTAGGACTCGTGTTCCCACTGACTGAGCACGAGTGTCAGCCGAAATCGGACGCAGCACTTCGCCAGCACGCAGCGACGCCAAGTCGGACGTGTCTGCCACTTTGCGGTGAATCTCGTAATGCTTCAGCACGTTCGTCGCTTGGTCGGCGGGTCGGGGATCCACCAGCGATGACGTCATGCACAGGAGTTTCTGCCTTGCAGAAGATTCGGTGCCGATGCCAAACGTATAGAGTGCGTATAGAGATGACAGTCTCTGCGCTTTTTTTTTTTTTCTCCCTCACGTGATATTGTGTTGACAACGCTTTCGTCAGACAGATCCGAACTTACGTAAGTTTATTTGCATCTTCGTATGCATGTGCAAATCAAGTGTCTCGAATGCAATGTTTTCTTGTTTCGTTTTGAGCAGGACGTCTTCTCAGATATGAAGCGAGACTGACAGAACGCCACAAAGACCTTCACCCTTCGCGGCCCTCTCTTGGGGAGAATCAAGTGCGGTGTTTGTCAGTTTTTTTTTTCCCTTGTGGTTTGTCATGGTTTGCTTGTACTATGAGGCTGAAAAATCAATTCTGAATCATATCTGGGCAATTGCCAAGCAACTTGTGTTCAACAGATGGGAATTTCGCCAAATTTTTACAAAAGCCCCATTTTCTACACAAGTGCTAAGTGCATACGGTTATTAATATACCGGAATTCACGGCAGACGTGACTCGTCAATGCTAATTTCGAACGCACACCCAATAAGAATTGTCTTTCAGATTATCACTTTTATACAGCCTGGTGGCGTGGACGCTTGATAAAGCGCGACGTCTAGTTATAGTCCGAACACGCAATCGCCATTTCTTTCCATAAGACTAACACTCTCTCGAATATACCTGCATTTGCGTGACTCGGTCAAATGAGGCACGCCATAAAAATCTGCCTGAGCGGTGGAACGGGCTCACGTGCGGCATTTAGTTCGGTCTTTAAATTTACTCCTAAGAGAAAATTGTGATAAAGATGTCGGGCTAACGTTTTAGGCCAGCCTTGTGCACTTAGGGACTGGCTCGGTGCGGAGATCTTATGTACATAGCGACAATTGGTTAGCTGACGGTGTTGATACCCAAAAAAAAAAAATTGCGGGCGTTGTGTGTAATTGCCAGTGTTTCTCATTTACACGCAAAATCTATACGTTTTGTCATGATTATGCAGTTCGGGTGCTCTCGCATTTGGCTGTTCTGCTACATGAATGCTTCGAGTGTTTACCTTATTGTAGATAAAAAAAAGTAAAAAATTTAATAAAGCATTGTTGAGCTCGATTGTACGAGTTGTGTGATAAAGCAATGCATTTTTAGCCGCTTACATTAACTACCTCAAGTTTAAACTGAGCACGGTTCGACGAGCCGGGAAGACGTTGAAAACATACTTATGGTTGTTCGCAGTTTGCTCAACTACCACTTCGTGAATGGTAAATATTACCAAGTCTTTCTCACTTGCACTTGGCTGCTGGCAACCACGACTTACCAAGCACGTTATGACTGTTTCCTCGTGAGTCGGAAAAACGAAGGCATAGCTCTTAATTGTTTTAATGTATCCTAAACACAGTCAACGCACGAGTATCGTTTCTTTTTTCTTTCTTTCTTTCGCACTCCCCCCTTTTTGACCCCCCCCCCCCCCCTGACCCAGTGACACATATGTAAGAGGAAAAGTTGTAAAATAAAAACTTTAATCACTCAATACCCCATCCCCCTACCTTGTCCTCCTCTAGGACTGGTCATCAGCCACCAACACAAAGGAGTGATAATGGGGCTTATTCTTAAAGAGGTACTGACACCCCAAATGTCGTAATTTTTTTCTTTGTTGACTGAAACGATGCAAGTTCTAGTCAAAAATACACACACAAAAAAAAAAAATCCACAACGCAAAAAAAAAAAGAAAAAGAAATCCCACGCCCGCGCTAGCTTTTTTTTTTTTTCTTTTTTTTTGCAGTCCTTCTCTCTGTCTCCTCATCTCCTCGATCCGTTTTATTTGTGACGTAATCAGTTATGAAATTTAGAAGCTTTGTAAGTGCCATTTCTATAATATTTATTAACGGCATTCGTAAAACGTGTTTCTTAACGAATCGGGCATCGGAGTCCGAAAATGCTGTCGACTCCAGACTTTTTTATCCTCCCTCGGAAAACATGGCGGAGCTCGGCACACAGCAGTGTATTGAGGATGATCGGGGAGTCGGGGGATCGGAAAGGAAATTGTCAAACGGTGAAAACGGCTGGGTTTGGTGGCTGCGCACCGTAGTTTCGGTTGTGACTCCGCCGGTGCATTTTTTCGAGCACTACCGGCGCGACATGGCCCCTCACGACGCTCACAAAAGTGCACTGCGCGTCCTCTTCGACCTCACACCGTTAAAAAAAAAAATTGAAATCGCTGCAAGGGCCCTAAAAGAACTTCAAACTCGAAAGTGAAGCGTCGTCTGCTCACCGCGACACGACTACTACTCCGACGCCCGGTCGGGCGCCGTAGCAATTGTCGATGAAGCGAGCGGCGATGAAATGTTGTCGATGAAACGATACGTATCCTGCATTAGCAACTCACAACGCCCCAAGCATTCATGACTCCAGCAAAACGGACGGCACCTAGCGGGCAAACACTAAACTGGCCGGAACACGGACTTTCGCGATTTCCGCTCGTCTCTTGTATAGCTTCCGTGATTACATGTTGTCGGTGGTTTGCGCGATAGAACAGTTGTCCCCTTGACTGCCCTAACTTTAGTATCAGCTTGTCACCCGGGTTGCTCTGAACGCAATCTATACGTAACTGCCTGAACCAGACATTCCGCGTGTATCAGCGTTCATTAGCACCGTGGAAAGACAGTAGGCAGTCCTTTCATCGCTTCCTCGAAGAAAGTCGAGCCTCTGAAAGCTCGCTTAACCAACGCATCACCGCAGGTTGCAAACGTGGAAAACAAAAAACCGGGGCAAACCATTTTGAGCCCAATGCTTGCCTGCTGATGCCCCAGCGTTGTGCATTGAGCTGACACAAGACACAGCACGACCTGTTTTTAACCCCCATATTTGCCCGATAGTGGCGCCCCCTATAGGTCGCTGGAGTCGCGAATACACGAGAAATGCCCAGTTACTTTCGGATGTCAAAAGACCAATGCCGAGCGCCGTCGTCACGTGGGCACGCGAAGGTACTAATCGGCTCGGGCTTCACACGTCCGTGCTGCCGCACCGGCCGTACATCAGAATGCCCCCCCAATTCCCTGCGCCGTGCGGAGTCACATGGGGTATCAATGATGAATTGTGGGAATTTCCGGAAGGGTCTATTCTTCGAGATTTCGTCCTCCACTACACCGCTTCAGAGGATGTCTGGAAACGAGATTATACGAACATGTTTCGTCTCTATAACATACGTTTAGTGCAAACAATAAATATATGTGTATGTTATCTTTAAATATCTGTTTACAAGTACTGAATTAGTGGATTTCAAGCTTTTTTGTATCCAGCGTGAAACTTCTAGTTGTGTTATTGTTAAAACAAGCGCAAGCGCTTTCTAGTTTGTCAACAGTGGGCAAGTGAACAGCTTCCAGTTTTTTATTGACTGAACTCGACTACCCATCAAACCATCTTGCCTGGTGGTCTCTTAGAAGAGGTGTATTCTGCACTGGCTCACTGCGTTGTTGTAACTGTAGCTTGCTAACTAGCCTAGTTCTCATCTTTGGCATCCTCCGAAATGCAGCCGTAACATAAAACATTGCAAGTACTGGTGTCCAATTGACGACGGCTCACACATTCTATGTACATGTATTGACGTGAAACAACAGTCGTTTCGACTAAGAGCTCATTGGATGCGTTAGTGGAACCCACGTATTCAACATGTTCATGTGAGTGCAACCTTGAAATTTAATTTTGTCAGTTTGTACGTGTCGGATCGAAACCTTATTCATGACCGTAGAATAGCTGCAAGGGATGAACTCATTAAACTGTTCGAGCATGTTTTCATTGCTTCATCAAGATAAACAGATTGAAACAAAATAAGGCCTGCTTACAGTAGCGTCTGACCACGTTTGCTTAACATTACGTGTTGATACGACCGCAAGATACCAGGACATCCATGCTTCGTATAATTCTCCTGCAGAGCTACACCTTTATTTGGCTGCCATACCCGAAGCACGAATCTCTCGGAGTCTTGTGATCGCAACTGTACGGAAGCCCTCCCAACCTAGGGTGCCGCAATGTCTTTCTGTATAAGGCGATGACATCGTTTGCAGGCGGTTTGCAGTACCATAGCCTCCTCTATACTCACAAAGCCTGACAGTTCTACGACGGGGCCATACACTCTTAGAAAAAAATGAAAGCCGTTTACAACTCCCTGTAACGCCGAATTAGAGCGCAGCTCTTGAGGAGGAGGAGGGAAGGGTACTGAGGTTCACGTGTTATCGGGGGGGGGGGGAGGGGTGGTCACGTGACCTTGGAGGGGTCACATATCCCCCTCGCCAAGGTCACGTGGGGGTCACGTGACCTGGGGGTGTCACGTGACCTCGGGGGGTCACGTGACCTCAAGAGAAATTTTTCCGCGAGATTTAGCAAGGACATTTTTCCGCTAAATTTAGCGGGGAAATTTTTCCGCTAGATTTAGCGGGGAAATTTTTTCGCTAGATTTAGCGGGGAAATGTTTCCGCTAGATATAGCGGGGAAATTTTTTCGCTAGATTTAGCGGGGAAATTATTCCGGTAGATTTAGCGGGGAAATTTTTCCGCTAGATTTAGCGGGGAAATTGTTCCGATAGATTTAGCGGGGAAGTTTTTCCGCTAGATTTAGTGGGGACGTTTTTCCGCTTGATTTAGCGGGGAAATTCCGCTAATTTAGCGGGGAAATTTTTCCGCTAAAATTAGCGGGGAAATTTTTCCGCTAGATTTAGCGGGGAAATTATTCCGCTAGATTTAGCGGGGAAACTTTTCCGCTAGATTTAGCGGGGAAATTTTTCCGCTAGATTTAGCGGGGAAATTTACCCATAATGCACCGCGCGGTTACGCCGACGGCGACGGCGACGCCGACGCCGCTCAAGCCGGAAACGGGCGCCTAAGAGCTGCGCTCTAAAAAGGGTATGGATAGTCCTCCCTTAAGGGAGGAACGGTCTTGTAACCTATGTTTCTTTAGAAGGAGAGAAACTTTCGTCCCTGAAGTACGGGAGCGAAGTTCCTCCGTCGCTTGCATCTCAATATGGCGGCCCCGAATCGAGCAAATAGAGCCCAATAAGGCTTGACGAGGACGCTACGTCTCTTGTACGGGACGAGAGGAGCAGCAAATAAAAGCGTAAGACGAGCTTTCTGCGAACTGTGTTTGTTTCCGAAGCCAGATTCCCCCCACAGGTACAGAAACTTGCGTTTCGAAAGCAGTTACTCAGTCTTCTCGTTGACAGCACTGCGATGTTAAATGGAGACAACCGATACCCATGCAGTTACTTCGCGCACTTTGCGTCTTACCTCTGATGTTCCTCGAGTCACAATTCCTTCGTCAACCGCACATCACGGAGAAGGGCAAACTTGATCCGCGAAACCAAAAGCCGCTCTCGAAAGAACAAACTCGAAGCCGCTGTTTATAGGCAACCTGCAATGCAGTTTGGCGCTACACGTTGCGCCATCTAGCGGCTGCAAAATAAAGAAACTGGGTAGGCCAGGTAGGCCAGGCCTGCGCGGGTCGCGGGGGCTGCCGGCGGGTGCATCCAGAAGCCACGTGTGAACGTTGCATTTCGGATCGGCGTGAGCTTTTCTGGAACCGTTTTTCGTAAAAGTAAGTCCCAACTTCACGTCTCTATGGCCTCACCGGGTTCCTGTAACATCTCGCCTACTCCTAGAGTTCCCCCCCCCCCCTCCCCCCCGAAAAAAATAAACGTTGCTACTGCTGCGTGAAAGACGGCCACAGCCGCGAAGATGACTCAAGCGTCAAACTTCACCGCTTGCCTTCGATATCTTCGGAAGCAACACGGCGACAGAAGTGGATTACTGCAGTGCAACACATCAAGTAAGTGAATTTTAGAGAAACTGTTGAGGGGGGGGGGGGGGGGGGGGGGAGTGAACGAAAATATATGTGCAGGCTCGGAAAGTGGTCGGACGAACTCGTTTTGCAGACTATTCGGCAAAATGCCATATTTATACAAGTTGTATTACGAGTCGCTTTGACAGCCAGATACGGAAATACGATAGGAACGATCGGGCTGATTGTGGCTTCGCTGTGACGTCGAGAATCGGGCGATCAGGTCTTCAAGCGAAAGGCCCGTCGGCCCGGTCCGGCACTCCTAATGCCGTTCGGCACGCGT